ATCTTTTTACCCAATTTACCTTGAACTTCAACTATCTTAGACTCATAATATTCATAGTCGTCTGTCTTCTTTGGTTCATAAGGTATAACAAGTTTGTATGCTTTACCTTCTTCGAGTTTTGAGAACTTTCTGTCAAAATTTTCTTTGACTGCTAACAAACCTTCTATGTCTAAGTCTTCAAATTTCGCACCATTTTTAGTCACAATAGCAAACTTAACAGGTTCGATGTTCCAAACTTTGCTGAATGAAGACTTTTCAAAATGGTAGAAGTAAACATTCAAATAAGCGAATGGGTCTAGTTCTTCTTTAAGTCCTGACATGTACTTGTTGACTGAGATGAATTTCATCATCTTTTCTATCGGATAAAAAAATATTTTTTTTAAATTTACTCAGAAAAATTTTTCTTTGTATATACGCCATTCTGAACATCTAAAAGATTTTTGACATTTGCCAAGAATGTTCGTTTAGACGCTGCCATATAACCATACTCTTGACAATACTGTTTATATGAATCGTACAATGACCTTTCATCTAATGACACAAAGTCAGTTTCATCTACGAACAGTTCATAAACACTCTTGTTTGCTTCTAACAACGTTTGTCTCTCTTCGGTATGTGGAATTTGTCTTGGATTGAACTTTGAAATATCTAATGTCATGAAATATGAGAACAAGTGGTTGTAAAAGTTAGGTGTCAAAGTTTCTGCTAAGTCGTCAAAATATTCTGTATCTTGCATATGAGAATCTGACGTTCTGACAACTACATATCTTCTGTCAGAACTTTCTAACTTCATCGGAACAACATTGTTTGAAACCATGATGAAATTTGCAACATTTTCACAAACTCTTTGGTCTTTATATTTTCTTTCAACAACTCCAACTTTGTCTGTTATAAGACTCTTCAAAGCATCTGAGTTTAAAACCTTTGTTGTATCTATACTTTGAAGTTCGTTACATACTATAAGTTTCATATTCTCTATTGAGGAGTTAAATTTACCGCAGATGTTTTCTAAGTTTGTCATATTAGGGTTCGAATAGCCCTCTAACAGTTTGCACAAAATATCTGTAAAGAAAGTGTTCTTACCAGTTCCTTGTTTTCCAATTATAATGAGAGCAGTTTCATTTTTAGCACTTGGATGTTGTAAGATGTTTGCAAACCAACATAAGATATACTCATAGACTCTTTCGTTTCCATTGCATATAATTTCTTTGACATGGTCTAACCAAGCTTCTATAACATTTTCTTTCCATTCTACTTGTTCGTATTTATATCCAGTGAAGATAGAATAGAAGTTTGGAGAAGGTGTATAGAACTTTATACCTCGAACTGAAAAATCTTCTAACTTTGACAATAAGATATCCCAAGCATCTAACATCTTCATACCAACTTGTACGACTTTTATTTTCTTAAGTTTCTGTCTACATTCTTGTTCTGAAACTATTGTCGCTTTAGGTTTGTTAAAGACTACATCCCATTCTTTCATAACATAACATTCTGGGGCAGAGTCGACATAAATGACTAAACGTTTCAAATTCTCGACTGCTTTGTTATAGTCTCGAAATGGACACATATTTCTGAATGCTTGGAAGTCATAAAAATCTGAAACATCTATTCTGTACATTTTTATAAAAATAAAAAAAATATTTTTTTTATTCTTGACTTTGTTGTTGCATTTGTTCCATTTGTTGTTCTTGAGCTATTTGTTGTTGAAGTTGTTCTTGTAGTACAATACTTTCACCAGTTGCATCTTCCAATTCGAAACTTTCTGCCGTCATTGACAAATACATAGGACATAAAAGTTTTACAGGAACAAAGTTTGCGTCAACTAAGGTTAAGTTTATGTTTGCTAAAGTGTTTGAGTTTACTAAAGCTGAAAACTCTGCATTCGAATGAACAATAGGCAAACCAGCAGAGAAAGTATTGTTTATACGCATAAGTATCTTTTGGTCATAATAGTTTCTGTCGACATTCGAATAGCACTTTGAACCTAAGTTTGAAACAATATATAAAATAGGTGTACTTAAAGTCAATGGAACAGACATTCCTTGTATGACACCTTTTCCTGTTATAGGAAACTGTTGGTAGTAAAAACCAGATATAAGTTTTGTATTATAGCTCATATCGTTTATACTAAACTCAGTCGGACATCCAAACATAATGAAACCTGCTCTAGTTGCAGCACATGTTACATCCGTCCTTAAAGTATTAAATAAGTCAACAAAACCTGTTGGTGGTATATCTGAGTAAGTATCTTCAAAGGAGTATTTTTTACCATTCACAACAATAAAATCTTCTGGTGTCAAAAGAGCAAAACAGGCTTTAGTCGTCATTGTGTTTAAGGTTAGTTTACAATATCGTCCTTGAGGACTTTGTAAGTTTGTTGTTATAGAATTATATGACTCAGGGTTTTTAGTCGTAATAGTATAAACCATTATATCTTCTGCCATTTACTTAGCAAATAAATTTTAATGAAATGTTGTGGTCGTCAAATATTTTTATGACGTCTGGGAAACTATATTTTAAGTTCAACGTTTCACCTCCTTTCATAACGTATATCTTGTCAATGACATTATATGAAACACCACAGCAAGCAATGTCGGGCTCTATTTCTTTGATGTTTATATCGTCTGCCTCTGTCAAAAGTTTCAATAGTTCTTTCAAAACTTCACGAGGTGCGATGACATATGAGTTCACTTTTACAGGGTTGTGCTCAACCAAGTTTAACATTATACCAAAGCTTGACAAATCTTCTCCTGAGTTTTAAGTTTGTCTTTAAGTTGTTGGTAGTCATTTCGAATATCTGCAACAGAACTTAAGTCTCTGCTAACTTCAGGGTATGTTGGTTGTTCTTTTACAGGAACTATTGTTATACCATCTTGGTCTTCGTATGGTTTCCCCACTTCAACATCTCTTTCTTTGACATTGACAACAACACTTTGACTGTTTGTTTGAGTTGGTGAATTTAACTTCACATCTGCCACCGCCATTAAACCTTTTGAAACACTCACGCTTCTATTTTTCGGAAATGACATTTTACTTAGAATAAAAAGATGGACGTATTCGGATATCTTATTGAATTGAAGCAGAACAAAGTTTATACTCACAAACAATACAAGTTCATTGACAGAGTAGTTCTTTATACAAACAATGGAAAATGTTATAGAATAGCAGTCTTTGCTGAACCAAAATATTTTCATAAAGCAGAGAGAGTTGGTATAACTGAAATGGTGAAAGTTCTTGACGTTGACAAAAATATAACAACAAAACTGACCGATATTTCTAAAGGAAAGTTTTTAATACAATACTATGTTAAGACTGGCGTACTGTCAATATTTGACGGAGAGAAGTCAGTTCAAGAACAACTTACTGACCTGCTGCCAAAATCTGCTCGATGGAAGCTGTCGTTATACCAATCTGAGGAGCCCCAGCAGGTTTCATCGAACGAATCTTCAAAGAGCATCTTCCGTGAAAAGTGCTATTGGTTTTGTAAACTTCTTTGCTTTCAATTCATCTGGACCGTCTCTGTCACCAGTATATTGTATTTGAACTGTACCAACAGTTGAAATACCACCCATAAAGTCTTCTGAGTCAGCAAATGGAATGCCAAGCCAAAAGTTTGAACGGTCTCCATTTGTATATTGAGTTTTTTGACCTCCTGTATGAGTCCATACTTTCACATATGGCATAATAGAACTTTGCATTTCAGGGTTAATGGTTGTTGTGAATTGTTGTTAAAGTTCATAGCATCTAATGTCAAGTTGTATGACCTCATATCCTCAACTGTAGAATATTCTCTCTTGGATAATATTTGCCATCTATGTTTATATGATATTTAATACCGGGGTTGTAGAAACAAGAATAGTCATTTATAGTTCGTCTGAACAGTACAAACATAGTATCTGCATGTTTCATTGCAGTTGTTAAAGCAATATCTGTTCTTGCACCTGGGTCAGCACTTTGGTTTCCAACTTCACCTGCAAAGTCTTTGACAGATATTTGGTGTATAGGGAACATAAGTGGAACTGCAATTATTTTGGCAGCTAAAGCATTTGAAATATCTGGGTCCAACATATAGACTGCAAGTCTGCTTTCTATTCTCTTGCATTCAAACTTTTCGCATGTGAACTTAACTGGGTCCCAAGCAGTTCCAGCAGCATTGAAGTAGTAGTTTACTTCAGTGTTGAAGTTTGAGAAACCAAAGTCTAAGTCAACCTTGTCTTTGCAAAAGTCGGCGAATGACGTTTTATTTGCTCCCTTTACGTCTGTAAGAGTGAATGGGTCTTGTGTTGGTGCAATGACTAAGTTATTTTTGCTTGGAGTAAGTTCGATAGAAATTTTTCCTGCCCAGTTTGGCAAGTATCTTAAAAACCTGAAGATGAGGAAAGATGACAAAGGAACTCTAAGTTTCAGTTTTACTTTGGTTACTGCTGCTGCAGTTTGTCCAGAAAGGTTAACATAAACTCCTGGAACGTTAGGGTCAAGTCTTCTTATTTTCTCAATAGTTGCATACTGGTCTGTTTGTTCTCTAGCTTGTGGTTGTACTGAGTTTCTCAAAGCGAACCATTCATAGTTTGCCCATGTTACTGTTTGAACTAAGTCAGAGTTAGAATATATCTTATATCCCATGAAAACTTCTGGAGCATATTGGTATCCGACATAGAAAATTCCATTGCAACCTTTCTTGTCAGACAACTTGGCAGAAGGTTTTATTTCAATGTCTTGTTCCACGTATAAGAAAGAGTTGTCAATAGAAATTATATGAAACCTGTCGCAAGCAATATCTACTGTTGTTGAAGAACCTTCTCCAAACTCACCTACGTTTCCATAAGAAACAGCAGTTGTATATTCGTAAGTTCCAGGAACTATTTCTGACCTTCTAATGGCATTGTCGCATTCGTTATACCATTCGGAAACATTTCCATTCATAGCATCCAAAACTGTTGGCGTTATATTCTGAGCGGCGTACATTTCATATGAGTAAAAATATAGAATAGTTGGATTTATATGTCATAATAGAACCCACTCCGACCAAGCTTTACTTTCTTCCTGACTGAGTTTTTAACTCTTCTTTTTCCTTCATTGCCCTCTGCTTGAAGTTGTTGCATCTTTGCATTATGTTCATCTAGTATGTTGCAAATTTCCCATGTCCTTTTTGCCTTTTGGCTCTGGTCGCCCATCTCAGGTAACCTATATCCTAGAAAGAGTTTGTCATAGTCTGTATTTGAGTCTTCGCGTATTGTTTGCATGACTCTTTCCTGAGTTTCCGGTTCAAGCGCTTCAAACAGTGCCTGTCCATATGGAATAAGCTCGTTTCCAAATATATGTTTTTGTAGCCATTCTGGTTTTCTTTCCATGTTACCAACTATATCTTTTGTGAATGGGAAAGCTTTTACCCAATCTTTCAGTCTTGCGTCGTTTATTTCTGTAGTTGGTTTTATTTTGTCAAGGAACATGTTTTTCAATACTAACATTTCATTTGGTACTGTCCATTTGAGTTTTCTTAAATATTCATCCCTTCTCGGTTCATTGTCTGCAAAGTAAGTTTTTATGACATTTTGTAAACTTTCGTTTGCAAGGTCATGTACAATAGGTTCTCTTCCTTCTCTCTCCCTAACTTTCTTTCTAAACTCTTCACCAAATATACCATCTTTATGGTTCTGTGTAGTTCTTTGAGATAAATGTTCTAGAACGTCAGGTGTTATATTTCCATCAGCCATGTTCATTTCATACTGGTCCAAAATATCTGCATCTTTCATATCTTTCAATGGCATTAAAGCCGCGCTTAAAATACCAGCTATGTCTCGTTCACCATTGACTTCCATTGCGTCTACAACTTCTTGGAATTGAGGTTGTAAGTTTATGAACCACCTATCCGGGTTAGCTTTATGACCCCATCTCATTGTAGTTCCATCGTCTGCAGAAACAAAAGTAGGTTTGTTTCCATCTTGGTTAGGTTCTGAATGAACTTTAAACAATGTTTCATTTCTATATGTTTTCTTGAAATTTAACCTTTTATTTTCACCGAGTTCATCCGAAGATTGAACGTTAAATGCTCGTAAGTAAAAAGGGTTGTTGTATTTGTGTACATTTTCTTTCAGTACTTCCATTCTATGCTGAATATTTTCATCTGGTGTTGGAGTCTTTTGTATGTCGGCAAACATTTTTCGATATTCTTCTACTATGTCAGCCGAATCTTTTTTAGACTCTTGGAAAGATTCCATATTCACCTCATGCTCTTGTTGAGGGTCAAGATTTTTCGGCTGTTCCAAATCTTCATCTAGTTCTGTGAAGTTAGTTTCCAAAGGAAGGACTTGTTCGTTTCCTTCAGGCTCTTCTAGCTGTTGTTGCTGAACTATTTCTTCCATGTCTGGTTGTATCTGAACTTCTTCCTGTGGAGTTTCTTGTACCTCATCTGCTGGCATTTCATATATTCCGAGACCGTTTTCAACAATTTCCCTATCTACGTCATCCGCATTCATAAGCTTTTGTTCTTTCGTTCCGTCTCTATTTTTTACGCGTTTCATGACGAAAGTTGAATTGTCATTTAGCTCTGACATCAAATATCTCGGAGTAAATTCATCCATGTCATTTGGATGATATGCTATTAAATCATATCCCTTAGCGAGCTTGTATTTTCCAGGTTTGAGATTATATCCGTTTTGGTGCTGAGCCATAAAGCTAAATAGGTTCGGGTCAGTATTTCCATCCTTGAACTTTCCAATAGCTTCTTTATATCTGTCACTAAAGTCAACAGTATCTGGGAAACCACACTCTTCTTTAAGCATTTTTAAGAATTCTTGGTTTCCTTGTTCTCTACTTCTTTTATGTCCTTGTTCTGTTTGTGGTTGTTGTTGTGCAGGGTTTTGAACTGTTGGTTGTGGAGGTGGCTGTTGTGCTGGATTTTGAACTGTTGGTTGTTGTGCTGGTTGTTGTGTTGGTTGTTGTGCATGCCTGTGTCTGTGTCCATGTGACGATGTAAATGTTCTAGGTAGTCCTGGTGCAGGTGCTTCTCTTGGAGGGTTTGGTGGTATATAAGTTCCACCAGCTGGCACATATGTTCCATCTGCAGCGTAATGTCCTACCTGACTTTTCGTTTTTAAGAAAGCATTTACTAGGTCTGTTTTGGTCTGTTGTAACTCTTTTTCTTGACTTTTCACAACAGTTGCTCTAACGGCGTCATAGGCACTTTGAACTGCCTGTCTCGTTGCTGCATCTGTTATTTTCGTCATATTTTGTGCTACTTCTCTTAACTCTTTGTCGAAACCTTCAGACTTCAGTTTCTTTCCAGATGAGAAGTCGTTCACTTGTTTCACCTTACTATGAAGAGCTTCGAAGGCGTTCTTAAAGTCAGCATTCGTTAAAGCTTCATTTGAACTGTCTTCATCCGCTTGTATTTTTGTCCTTATTGACCCTATGAGTTGGGCTGCTTTAGCGTTGGCTTGGGCATCTAACCAGTCATTGTTAGCTTTTATATATTCTGCGCTTTTCATTGCCTTTTGCATAGCCGCGTCGTTATTTTTACTTTCTTGTGCTAAGTTTTCATACTGTACGGTTTGGTTTTGCAACTGTAAAAGTTTTTCTGCCTTTACATTTGCTTCAACTTCTTTTTTATACTCATCGCTATCCATATATGTCTTCAGGGCTTTTTGTTTTATCTCTTCATCTTTCAGTATTTTATATTGAGTAGTATGGTTTTTCAAATTTATGACATCTTGTTCCATTTTTGCTACTTCTGTTGCTTTTTCTGACACTTTTTTTGCATATTCCTCTGTACTTAGTTCTTTCAGTTGTTCTTCTTTCTTCTTTTTCTCTACGTTTAACTCATTGAGTTTCTTTGTGTGTCTGTCATATTCTAGTTTCTTTTCGTTTTCACTTATTTGCTTCTGTATGTCTATGTTTGACTTTTTGACATCTGTTATTTGATTTTTGAGTGAACTCAAATTCATTTGACTTTGAGGGTTATAGGCTGTTCCGTCTGCAGCTCCACCATAGCCTGCCATTTTCGCTAAAAGTGCCGCTCTTAAACCTCCACTCTGTGCACCAACAACTCGGTTTAAAAGCATAGGATTGCTTGACATTTGTTGCAACATAGTGGGGTCATTCAGCATTTGTTGTTGCAACTGTTGTTGTGGTGTTAGTCTTACTATTGGATGTTTCAATGCTCTCTTCCTCTTACGTATATTCTTACGTAGCTTACGTGGCATTTTAAGTGAAGTTAAAAAGCGGTTTTTGACAGATGTTTATATGACACTTTCTCCAGTTTATAGGACCTCTCTCATATTCTATCTTGTCATGATTTCATCGTAAATGTTTTGTCAAGACTTCTTCGTAAATGTTTTGTCAAGACTTCATCGTAATGAGTGTAAAGGACCCAAAAATATATTTTATGTTAGAATGTTAGATCTAACACCTTTTCTAACATGTTTTCTAACATGGTCTAAAACTCTTGAATTTTCATGATTTCATCGTATATGTTTTGTCAAGACTTCTTCGTATATGTTTTTGTCAAGGTTTCATCGTACATGTTTTGTCAAAACTTTCTTGTCTATGTTTTGTCAAACTTCATCGTAAAGACTTTGTTGAGACTTTGTCAAACTTCATCGTAAATGTTTTGTCAAGACTTTCTTGTCTATGTTTTGTCAAGACTTTCTTGTCTATGTTTTGTCAAGACTTTCTTGTCTAATTTCTCATGAACTTTCTTGTCTATGTTTTGTCAAAACTTTCTTGTCTATGTTTTGTCGAAACATTTACGATGAAATCATGAAAATTCAAGAGTTTTAGACCATGTTAGAAAACATGTTAGAAAACATGTTAGATCTAACATTCTAACATAAATTATATTTTTGGGTCCTTTACGCTCATTACGAAGAAGTTTGACAAAAACATTTACGAAGAAGTTTCGACAAAACATTTACGATGAAATCATGACAAAACATTTACGAAGAAGTTTCGACAAAACATTTACGAAGAAGTCTTGACAAAACATTTACGATGAAATCATGAGTTTTCTACGATGTTAGAAAACATGTTAGAAAACGTGTTAGATCTAACATGCTAACATAAACATTATTTTTGGTCATTTACGCTCATTACGAAGAAGTTTGACAAAACATTTACGATGAAGAAGTCTTGACAAAACATTTACGAAGAAGTCTTGACAAAACATTTACGAAGAAGTCTTGACAAAACATTTACGAAGAAGTCTTGACAAAACATTTACGAAGAAGTCTTGACAAAACATTTACGAAGAAGTCTTGACAAAACATTTACGAAGAAGTCTTGACAAAACATTTACGATGAAATCATGACAAAAAAGTCAACGGCTGGTCGGCTGGGGTTCGGTCCTCCTCTTGGGTCTTGGGAAAAATTCTTAGGGCTAGAAGGCACGAAGTGCCTGGAAGCCCCACTACCTTTTTTTTTTTTTTTTTTTTTTTTGATTATTCAAGATATTGATATTAAATCAGAAATCAATGGTAAATAAAGAGTTTTATAAAAACTTACCACGTGGTAAGATGAAGTGACCACAAATTGAGTTGTGGTACATAAAAATTACCACAAAATTGAGAACTTTTCCCACAAATTGAGAATTTTTACCATAAAATGAACGATGGATATCCACGAAAGTTACCACAACTCACTTCTCGCGCAAAATATGTTTAATATTACATATTAAATACATTTATCAACATTAATTATTTTGAATTGTGGTAAAACGATATGTCACATATTTTTTTATAAAAATTTGTAAAAATGTTTATTTTAATTTATATAATTAAATATTAAAATTTTAAATTTTGAAATAAAATAAATTAAATTCGTCCGTTATCTTTAATTCGCTCGGCGAATGCCGAGCTTACGTACTCATGTATTCCTTCTTGTTACAACTCGAACAAGAACATCACCTTTAACATATTATCAAGAAGCCCACTATAAACTTTTCATTTGATGAGTTTTGAATCGCGAGCTTCTTGATAGTCAAACTACGCACCAGCACTACAACTTCTTTCACCCGAACTAATACAAATTTACACATTGGAGCTGCTTTGCTCTGAGAACTCTCATCAATCGATGAGAGTTCTCAGAGCAAAGCAGTTAGTATGGGTTAGTCGTGTACGGAGGCACTGCGCACATACTTACCCATGATATGTGAATTTGACACTTTACAAAACCGCTAACGTATATTTTACAACACAAACGACAACACCAACTTAACCTTAAATATTTACAAAGCCACCAACCATTTCACCTCACTAACGACTTCGCTAACGAACTCACTAATGAAAAAATAAACGTTCTCATAAATTTTCTTCTATATCTTCATCGTCAATGTTAACTCTATTGTAGTCATACTTGAAGTCATAAAGTTTCTCAAGTTTTGAAATGCATAGTCTTGTTAACTTACCTTCATCATCATAAGTTTTTATAAAACTACCATGACAATCTTTATACACAGTCAATGTATAGTCAACTGGTCTAGGATGAAGTGTAAAGAACATGTTATACTCAGGAAGGAAGAATAAATGTTTAAATGTATGTTTGTTATACTGTGGAATTCGAATGAGTTGCTTTTGTTCTGTCATTTACATCCAAATAAAAATTTTCAGTAAAATAAAAAATAAACTTAAAAATTAATGATATCACCACCCTCACACGTATGAAAACATAGCACAAAAATAAATTTAGGTGAAGTGGTGAGATCTCACCTCTTTTTTTCACCCTGTTGAATTCATTGCTTTATAACTCTCTTCCTTGGTTTCTTTTTAGTTGCTTTCTTCACGTCTGTCTCCAACTTGACTGTCTTTCTTCTTCGGCCGTAATGATACCAGTTACTTCCACCAGTCAATGGGTCAAATGGTCTTTCGTAAGGGTTTCCATACATTCCATAGGGACCATACGGAAGAACTACTGGTGGAGAAGAAACATTTTCTTTAGTTCCATCGACTCTATTTAAATGCATTGTTTCACCTTTCATCTGGTCATTAAAGTCTTTTGCGTGTTTTGCAAACTCATCGTCCTTTCCTAAAGCATTTTCTGACTCAGTCGCAACCAAATTGGATGCTTTATTTATGAGCCCTATTTTATTTAATCTTAACTTCTTTGCAACCCAGCCTCCAATCTTCCCTTTATTTGCATCTAATGTCTTCGAAACCCTTCCTCCACTCATTTTATTTACTGCGTCATAAGCTCCAAGTGCTTTTGCTCCAAATGCTAATGCTTTTGTTCCCATTGCGCCTAAAGCTACCCAAGCTACCATTTACACCATATTAAAATCATCTCTCTTCAATATTATCTCATAAAAGTTCTCGTTACTGGAGAAAGTCAATGAAACATAAGCGTTCTCACGGGCTTCGCCCTCACCGCTTTGCGGTCTATCTAACTTCTTTCTTATATCATCTATACGCTTCAAAATGTCTGAACAATTGCTAACATCTTCTACAACAGTTATTTCATCATGAATGACCTTCAAGAACAAGCTCATTTAATATGCTATTAAAATCATCTCAATAATGAGTCCATCCTTTCCATCTTTGGTAGCACAACATCTTTCATTGAAGAAGGTTCGACAAGTCTTATGTTAAACTTACTGACAAAGTTTGTTATACTATAATGCTTCGCGGCGAATACATGTAGTTTTTGAAAGACATAATATAGATTCTTCAGCAAATTCACTTATACTGGATTTTAAACAATGTTCTCACGAGACCAAATACCGCCAATTGACAATCTTGTAAGCAATCCTGCTGAACCTTCTACTGTAAACGTCGATGGTAACATTCCACGAAGGTCATCTATTGACATCGTTGAGTCACTGTATTTAAATATTTTCTTAAAGCAATCGTCATTATCTAACCATGCAATAGCTTTGAAGTTTTCATTCGAATATACATCTGCTTCATTAAATGTAAAACCTGACTTCTTTGCAGAGATGACTTTTAAAATCTATTGAGTTTTGTGTGTTTTCCAAAATTATATACTATGGTAACTTCTGAAGGTAATGGATGTCCTTCCGCAGTCAGTTGTTCTCTCACTACCGTTTGAAGCTTTGTATTAAAAACTTTCATGTCATCTCCTGTATCTAAGTTCACATACACAGCAACAGGAAAACTATCTTGCTTCTTTGTTTCATCATTATACCTCAAAACATTAAAGTTCTTCAATAATATTGTTCTTCCTGCTGGAATACTTCGAACCTGTCTGATTTCAATAGCTTTCTCACCTCCTACATACTCTACCCAGTGTCTTGGATATTCATAAGTATACTGACTTTCTTGAATTTTGGTAGGTTTCATCATAACATGTTCATAGTATATCTTTATACTCTTGTCAGTTAGACTCGGTGCTATGTTCTGAATATTTCTGACTTGCATTTTTAATGGAGATAAAATGAAGCATTTAATACATGACGTAGATGAAGACATGAATGAAACTACAGACAAACTTAACTCTTCTCTTATTCTTCCTTTCAGCAAAGATTATGAGTTCTGTTCAAATGGTGCGTATTTCTATTGTGGAAAGATGGGTTCAGGTAAGACATTTAACCTCATTCGTCATATACTCATAACAGAACGTTTAGGAAATGACTCATATTATGACCAAATCATTATATCAGCAACTTCAGACTCTATGGACTCAACAGCGAAAACATTTATGTCAAAAGTTCAAGCCTCTGTCGTTAAAGTTCCAGACAGTGAACTCATTGAATTTCTTCAACGTTACATTCGACGTAAGAGGAAATATTATGCCATCGTTGAATTTATACAGTCAGGAATGCAAAAGACTTCTGAGGAGATGGAAAGAATTATTGACAAACACCACTTACGTCAGTACTCAGGAGTTTACGATATGAAACGACTGACAAACTACATTCTATCAAAACTTTCAAAATACCCCTTCAAAAAATATCCATCAAACACTTTATTAGTTTGTGACGACTTCGCTGGTAAAGGTTTAGTGTCAAAACCAGACTCACCATTAGCTAACATCATTACTAAAGTCAGACATTACCATTTAACTGTAGCAATACTTATGCAAACATGGAGGTTTTTAGCTTTAAACATAAAACGTCTCATAACTGACTTCGTTATCTTTCAAGGTTTCTCACGTTATGATATTGAACTCATTTGGAAACAGTCAGGTATAACATTACCTTTTGAAGAAATTTGGGAAGCATATAAGTCTCTCATCTCTCCTCGTTCATACCTTGAGATTCATATCATGACTAATACCATTAAAGTCAAAAATATTCCATGGGAACGACCAACATTGTTTTAAAGTTTAACCTTCAATTGACTGATGGTAAACAAATTCCATGCATCTCTGTCGCCATTTCTGTTAATATTTTTGCTGTCATTCATATCATCCACTTCCCCATCCGTTAGCTTTTGAGGATATGCGTTAGAATAGCTGTTCTTAAATGAAGGCTTTTCACCTTTGAGAGCATAAACTCTATAACTTTCTGCATACTTTATGTTTGAACCTCCTGAGCCATCATTAACATAAATTTTTATAGGCTTCCACCCTTTGTTCATGTTCCTGCTTCTTCCCTTAGCTCTTTTGTTCAGTAGTTCTACATCTTTATACACAGCTCCTGTCTCAGTGAATTCAACAATATTTTCATTCGTTAGCTTTACATTCAAACCCTTGTCGAGTATATTGTTCATTTCATACATATAAAAGGTTTTTATTCTATATGAAATGAGAAGCAAATCCATCTTAGCTGGTGCCGTTAATGTTCCAATTGAACCAACATCAAATGTTGACTCACGAACGACAAACAATATTGTCATAAAGAACTATAGTTCAGAGTGTTTGAAAGAAAAAGAACCAGAACTTAAGTCGGTGAATTTAAACTCAGCTTCAAACGCTAACGCTACATCAGATGTTAAGTTAGAGTATCCACCACTGGACCAAATTCTTTCAAGAGAAGCCAACGACAATCCTTACACAAATGTTCAAACAAATCCTTCAGATAGCGTAGACCATTACCTTCTTCAGTTATACCAAACAATTTTACTCAAAGACGATAAGAAGCTTTTGGTAAATCTTATAAGCAAGAACCAAATAATTCTAACAAAGGAGGACCTTGAAAATGTTATCTCACGAATAACAGGGAAACAATGTGTTATTGACTATCTCGACCCTGAAATCGAATGCTGTGGTCAAACTCCACTATTCATGAAAATAGGTAACATCCGCATCATTGAAACACCAGGAACTACAGGAGTTGAGTTTAAGTATAAATATTCAAACGAGTATACAAAACTTTCAACAGAATATAAACTTTGTTTGAAATATGTTTTAGTAAATTAAAGCAGTCAGGAGGGCTCTTTGAGCCCATCTTGGCGCTTTGCGCCGTCAGTCAAAAAAAATTTCAAGTTAACAATTTGTAATATCTATCCAAAACTTCTTCAACAGTATCGAACTCATCTTCATAATGCAAACCTAATCTTATTGACTTGGTGCAGTTTTCACTAACACAATATTTTTCTGTTCTCTTGACTGACATAACTAATTCATTTGTTTCATCAAACAGCAACAACCAAAGTTCATGACCTAATACATAACATTCATACTTTATATTTTTAGCTCTGAGTTCTCTTGTAAGCTGTTGCATTTAATATTTTCTAAAAAGTCAACTTCAACAGTCATTCGCACTGGTGCCTTCAGTTCTACAGGCTCTCCTTGAAAGTCAACAAGTCTGAATTGCATGTCTTTCAAATTATGAGGACTAATGCGAACCCATTTACCTAAATGAGTTGCTATGACAGGAACGTTTGGAATGAACATTGAATTGACTGCATAACAGAAGGATTTATATTCTACTGAACCTTTACTATTAACTCCTGAAATGCCTGTGACATTAGCTATTTTAGACTCAATGTATAAACAATTACCATAACATACGTATGGAACAGATTTCATCTCAATCGTTTTGTCAACACTTTTCAAAGGAAATGTCATATGGTATGCACCCAAAAGAAGTTGTACTCTATGACTCATTCTTGGTATCTTAAACTCCTTCGCATAACTGAACTTCAAAACTCCTGCAATAAGTTTAACATTCATTAAGTTTTCTTCGTTATCCTTGTTTATTGTAGTATTTATGAGAGCATTTAACACTCCAGCTAATGTTTCCATCTTATATTCTACATTATTGTGAAATCTTATTTCGTGCTTCTTTCCATCTATTTCAATCTCCATGAAATCTGTTTCATCTGTTATAACGAATGAAGCGATAGTATTGAAGTCAACCATTCTGAATGCAAGCGCCTCATTCTGTAGACCTAAGTTTGTTTGTAGCTTTACTGTCCGTATTCGTTTGGGTCTGTACTTTGCAAATAGAACAACATTTTATTCTCATTAAAATATGAGTATAGCTGCATATGCGTATGAAGCTGACAGAGCTAAACGTTTATATTTTGGTCAATACTCTCTCACACTTACTGACAAATATATTGTTATCACTGATGGAAATACTGAGAAATACATAACATGGAAGGACTATGAAAAGTTTGACCCTATTTTAACTCCATGTACTATGCCGTTTATAAAGGACGGTGAAATTATTGAAAAAGATAATAAACCGTATATAGGTCTGTTTATGAAGCATTAGAATATATGTTGAATCATAACCCAAAAAGATTTGACCCAAGCACTACACCATGTGCAATGCCTTTTATTAAGGACGGTGAAATCGTAAGAGTTCCGGATTCAACGGTTTACACAGCTGTTCAAAACAGTTTACAAAACATTTTAGCGAATATCTTTAATTCAGAAACTACAGAAATAAAATTACCATATATAACAGATGCTAAAGAAATTAAATCAAAAACGACAACATTATTTACGTCACTTAATGATTTAATGACTTATATCATTAATATTCCTGCACCAACTACAGCATTTGATCCAAATTCGACGGTTTGTAGTGTACCTTTCATAAATGACAGTTCAGTAATTGCTTTAAGGGATTCGACAGTAAATGAATCATTAAAGGCGTCATTAATGAAAATCATTGATTTTAACTCATTCACGAATACATATAATTCATTCATTAATGTTTCATATGCTTCTAAAGAAGGTGAGCCAAAAACTATCGATAAAGCGGTGTATGAAATAAAAGCATCAACGACGAAATTGAATTCGTTAACTTTTGACGGTGATAGTTTCGTTAATGACATAACATCGGGGAAAACAATTTTAACGAAAGAATACTTAAAATCTCATGTTAGTGAGTTCGTTGAAATTGAAAAAGAAGGTGGAATTAAGTTCGATCCACTGAATTTCATTTTCAGCTTAGCGAATGCGGGTGTTAGTTTCGCTGAATGGACAACTATACAGAGTGAAATAAATGCAATATGGACGTTTTTGGGGTCAAAAGCGGGAATGGGTGAGCTTGTAAATGCTGCAAGAACATTAGGTGAAACAGGAAATTTTGTAGATGGTTTTAAAAGACTTGTTTCAAATGTTTTAACAAACACAAAGAAATTATTTAGATATACCGTACATAACGGACGGATTTTCGAACAGATAGCAACAAACCCTCCGGTTATGGCTGCGTTGATGATGGTTAGAGATATAAAACCACGTAACGACGGGAACGAAGAACATGAACAACAGGATACTGGTCGGGTTATTCGAGACATTAAAAACGTGTATCCTGAAGTTATTGATTTATTTAGAGGAGTTAATGATTCAATTTCAAAACATTCTATAACCCTCGATGAAGAGAATAAATTAACAGATTATATATTCGTCATTATTGCAGAATTAATGAAGAGAATAAATGAAAAAGGAATTGGTGATATCATTAATGTCAGCGATGTAATGATGAAAAGAAATTTTGACTCATTATTTACAAAACCGAAAACAGAATATAGTCTTTATGACGTAATTACCGAATTAATGAAAAAGATTAATGATAATAAGAGTTCTGGCGGAAGAGTTGAATTAGAAGTGAATGATGTTAATGAGAAATTAGCCGAAAAAGCAGACAAAAATGAGCTTTTAGCTCTGAGTGATAAAGTCAAGAACCACGTTCATTATATAACTTCAGACGAACAGATTATAACGGACTACCATGGATATTTAACACAGGATGAACAAATAAGCACTGAAGATGTTAATGAAAGAAGATATAAATACATTCGTGCTAAAGGTTATGACATAAGCTGTACTGTACATTATGACGCGGGTAAAGCGCTAGAAGCATTTAGTTATAACGATGAAATTTATGCCTCTACTTTCTCTGTTAAAGGTGTATTAGTTGAACCAAGATTTACTTTGAGAGTTAAGTCAAAAATAACTTTTGAAGATGCTATTAAAAGTAAAGCTGACAAAGTTGAACTCGAAGCAATGAACAAAGTTTTGAAATCTCATAAACACAACATCTCCGATATAAATGAACTTCAAGCTACATTAGACAGTAAAGCCGACAAGAACCATACACATGAATCCTTCACTACTGTTAGAGCAGACGACATAATATTGAACTATACCCTTGGTTCAAGTGCACCTTTAGAGAATCCAAGTACAAGCATAAAAGATACACTAAACTCCTTAAATAGTAAATGTATGAACATTGAAGGTCATGCCAGAAATTTTGAAACACATGAACTACCAGCAATGTTAGATAAGAAAGCTGACAAAGAACATACGCATAAATCCTTCACTACTGTTAGAGCAGACGACATAATATTGAACTATGATTTGGGTTCAAGTGCACCTTTAGAGAATCCGAGTACAAGCGTAAAAGATACTCTTAACAATTTAGATAACAGTTGCAGGAATATCGAAGGTCATGCCAGAAACTTTGAAGCATATGAACTACCAGCAATGTTAGATAAGAAAGCAGACAAAACAGAGCTTCAAACATTAAAGACTGAAATACTTCAAACATTATATCCTATAGGCTCTATTTATACGTCAATGAACTCAACAAATCCAGCAACAGTTTTAGGTTTTGGTACGTGGAAGCAGATTGTAGATAAATTCTTATACTGTGCTAACTCTTCAAAGCAAACAGGAGGTTCGAAGAAAATTAAAGAAGCAAACCTTCCACCGCACACTCATACAGGAACTACAAACACAACAGGTAGTCATTCACATTCAATAACAAAAAGAGGTTATACAAATCTTGCAGCAGGTTCGGATAGACAGGGAATGCATAGATATGATATTTCAAGTGACCCAGTAGATTCAAGCGCAGGTATTTTCTGTGGAACCACAGGAAATCATTCACACACTTTCACAACAAATCCAACAGGCTCGGGTGCAGATTATATGCCACCATTTGTGACTATATTCGCATGGTACCGCGTTCAATGAACGCGCTTGAGCCTAGAATAAAATCTTTAACTTTACATAAATGAGCTTGAAAGAAGTATTCGAACAACATCCATGGAGGTCATTTAAGAAGTTCAATGAAGCTGCAAAGAGTTGGGGATTTACTAACAGAGCTGAAGTGAAAAGGTTCTTTGACAAAAATGTTGTACATCAAACAAAAATAAACCCTTACGACTACTTTTTACCAATTTACTCCAACACTCCTGACGCATACCAATTTGACACTCTCATTCAAAGCAGAAAAGGAGGACATAAACCATTCCTCATCTTCATTAATGTTAACACTCGTAAAGCATATGCATATCCAATGAAAAATAAAGGAACTCGTGAAGTGTTAAGAGTTTTACAAAAGTTTGTAGCAGAACATAGCCCAAGTACTTTAACATCAGACCAAGACAGTGCATACCTCAGCAATGAAATCACAGATTTTCTCATTAAGCATAACATAACTCACTACACTACTGAAGACCATAACCATAACATACTCGGCATCATAAACCGCTTCATAAGAACGCTCAGAGATTTAAACCAAGAGCGAGACTTTACCGAAGAAACAATGAAACATTTTCTCGAAGTATATAATTCCTCAACACATTCTACAACAGGACATACACCAAATTCAATGACACAACAACAAGAAGAAAAGTATATACAAAAGAAACGAAGCCAAACACAAAATATCAGAAATTCAACACAATTTACCCTCATTCCTGGTACAAAAGTTCGTGTAGTTCTTGACGACAAACCGTTGACAAAGAAACGTTTAAGGTTAAGTAGAAACTATTATATCGTAGACTCTACGCAAGGTAATGGATATCTTATAAAAGCTGCCGACGACTCTATTGCGTTTTACCCTCGACATAAATTAGTTGAAAGTAGTAATGGCAAACTTGCTGAAACCATTGACGAAGCAAAGCGAGGAGTGGTTATTGAAATACTTGGCTATAACATAAACGATGACACTTATAAAGTAAGATATGAAGGAGGCGTTGAAGATGTTATACCATCTAAGAACTTGAGAGAGTCAAAGTCAACACATCTGGGACCATTAGAGCGGGAGTACTGGAAAGACAAAAATAAGCCAGAAAGAATAAGAAAATTCTTCTAAACTTTTTCATTAGATGTAAATCAGACATGAATGAGAACAGTCATGATATCATTAATGGTACCATTTATTTTTGTCATAAATTTACACCAAAAATATATTTTAGGTGAAGAGGTGAGATCTCACCCGTTTTCTCACCTGTTTTCTCACCCTCATGAAAATTCATGAATTTCCTTAAGATAGAAAAATAAAGTTAGTTTTATTTTTATTTATTTTTTATTTGGTATGTAAGAACAGAAATGTCAGTCGAAGCAAAAACATTCACGAACAAATCTAATGGCGAAACATTCACAAAAGGCACTTATAATGGTATTGAAGTCTTACGTAGAGACAAGGATGGTTACATTAATGCAACAAAGATGGCAAGAGAAGCAGGAAAGTTAAACCATTTAAACAGATTTCTCAATAGTGCTAAAATGCAGGAAATTCTTGAGTTTTGGTTGAAAGAATACGGTCGAGCCAAAAGTGGCTCAACCTCAAAACAAGCATTTTATGAGCTTACTAAGGGTGTTATAAATGAATTCAAAGGTATTTACATACATCCTGACCTCGTTCATTTTGTTGCTGAATGGTGCTCTGTAAAGTATGCATTTTATGTCAAAGATATTATGGACTCCATAGACAAGAAAGTTCATGAGAAGTTAGATGAAGAAGAACTCGAAGATACAGTAGAAAATGCTAAACATTTGTTTGAAGAAGAAGTTAGAAAAATGTGCGAAAAACAATTAGAACATGAACGTGAGATATGTTATGGTTATAGAGATTCTCCATACGAACTAGACCAATGGGAACAAGAAGATTTAAAGAGAGAATTTAGAGAATATGAACTCGCTAAGATAGCATTAGAAACTGCAGAAAAGAAGTTAAAAGTTTGGGGTTGTTTTGTACAAAAATATTGTGAGTAAATGAACCATTTATTTTTATTGAATTCACCAAAAAATATAATTGAGGTGAAGAGGTGAGATTTCACCTGTTTTTTCACCCTCGCCGCTTAGCGGCTCAGATTGCTTTAGCTTTCTCGTGAATTTTCATGAATTTCCTTAAGATAGAAAAAATAAAGTTAGTTTTATTTTTATTTATTTTTTATTTTGTATAAAAGATATGATTTCAACAATCGGCACAACAACAATTCAAACAACTACAGCACCAAACTCGCTAGTCATGAATCCTACGTCAATGTTGGTAGAGATGAAAAGCTTTATTCCTTCTTCATATACTTTTGAAACAGAAATCCAGAAGATAAAGCAAGAACTTTTAACAAGTAATTTAGACTGTAGTGCGAAAGATGAAACAAATGAACAGTATCTTTATGAAATGGAGGACCTCATCGACCATTTGCCTAAACTACCTGAAATTCAGCAGCAAAAACTAACTATTCCTGAATTCGACGAAATTGAAGTCAAAGCAACTGACTCAGTAGAAATTAAGAAATTCATACGTAAAGTAAATTATGAATTCCTTGGTTTTCATTGCAACCATAAAGTTATGGACAAAGATTGCGACATGGTTTATAAAAATATTTCTGACCTTTACAAATCCGAAGAATTTAAGACATACGATAACTTTGTTTCATTAGTTGCAAAATGTGTATGGCAGATAAGAGATAAAGATAGAAGAGGTAAAGTATGGAATGAACAGATAAAACCAGCAGCTTTTGAGTTAAAGAAAACCATTGACGCCTTAGTTGTTCTAGCTGGTTTTATTTCAATGTATAACGCAAAAATGAATCCGCAATGTTCAAAATGTAAAGCAGCAATGAGGAAATATAACTACTCCGTCAAAGAGATAGAACGAATGAGAAACGACTATGCAGACTTAAAGAAAGAAGCAGAAAAACCAGCAGAAAATAAAATGGACATGTTAGAATTTCTGAACAAAAACTATCCAACTGCTGACGATTTCCTTCTATCTGACGTCAAGAAGAAGTATAAAGAAACCTTCGGCATTGTTAAAACATTCGATGTACTAAAAGAAGAAATAGAAGCTACGAAATTGTTTAGGATTTCAAATATACATCGTACAATTCATGTAAAACGCTTATAAAATAACTGAGGTGAAAAAACAGGTGAAAAAACGGGTGAGATCTCACCTCTTCACCTCTCTTCACCTCAATTATATTTTTGGTCAAAGCTTCCACGAGAGAAAAGATTCCTCATTCGCTAAGGATTCAAAAAATGAAAAAATCATTGATTTCGGCTGAGAAAAAACAGCAAAACCCTTCTTCCACGGGAACAAAGAAATAAAGAAGAAATCAAGTAAATTTTTTATTTATTCCCGTGGAAGATAGAGCACTTTTATGACACTTTTTATTCACGACAAACAAGACAAACAAAGAAAATAAGAAAATACGGCGCTGTCGCAGTTTGAACCACAGACTCTGACCCCTCCATAACACCACCTTAGACCACTGTGCTACGTAGCCTGTCGACATAAGATTTTATAAATTGCATATTTGACGTAAATTTATTTCCATCTGGCTTCCCACCGCATAAGATATTCATACGTGTTTGTAAGACATTCATTAAACTTCTTTTCTATTGCATCTAATCTTGCGTTATTTTTTTCAATAACTTGTCTGTATTCTTCATCATCTCCAGCAGTGTTTGGGTCTTCACGTTTAAAATATTCATTGTTAACCAATTTTTTATCTACAAATTTTATTAGTGTTTGATTCACTTCGTTATGATAACGGTCATATTCTTTCAATACGTAAGTGAAGACAAAATGCGTCGTACCTTCAATCTTAAAGCTTAAAGAACTTTCAACACAGTTTTGAGGGTCTGTCAGTGCGTCAATGAGATAGTATTCGAAGTCAGTCAATAATCTTTTTAAAGTCATTTCATACAGGATAAAATTTAATGTTGTGAAGAAATAGTGTTTATCTCAGAAAAAATAACGCTAATTTTTTCTAACAAATTTTTTTATTTTGTATGTAAAGACAGTAATGTCAACATCAGAGAACACAACAACAGTTATAGTCCATGAAGCTATAAATGAAGAATACGAGTACATACAGTATAACAAACAGTTACGTCTCATTCGTTCAGTCAAAGACGATATGTACCAAATGCAAAGTATAATGAATGCTCTTCGTTCTACAAAGCAAGCATATCATTGGTTTGAAAACCAACAGACAAAAGAACTTTTAGAAGAATTTCCTCATATGATTGCTTCCCTCGGAAAACCAGGGGAAGAGATTCCGTATGAAAATCGCAAGAATTTGGCTCCTGGTTTGAAAGGTTATTATGTTCATAGACTTTTAGTAAATGCTGTAGCAATGTGGGCTTCACCTCGTTATGCTTGTTATATTTTCATGATGTTAGATGAACTATATAAAGCAGAACGTGAAGAGATGGAAATGAAACTTCAAGCAAAAGATGAAGTCATTGAATCCAAAGACAAAAGCATACAGAAAAGAATACCGCGTTCGGTACCAAAAGGAAAGGAAAAGAGTTATAAGTATATGATATATACTGAAGAGTTGGAGAAAGAAGAAGATAAAGATATGGTTATGTTGCATTTAGTCAGAAGAAACAACAAGAGCTTTTATGACTTAGCTAAAATATATAAATCTGACAGAAACTGGTTCTATCGTGAAAACTTACCGATTTCAATGACACCGAATGAGCAAATAAAGGAAATTGTCAAAAATACTCTTCCTCAAACACACTATGACATCAAAGGTTGCACAATACTTACATTCAAAGAAGACTTAACATTACTGAAGGAAAAAATAACAGAATATTTCGATAACTTCAAAGAGGAAGAATAAAAAAAATCTAAGCTAATTTTATTTTTTTATAAAATTTTATCTCATATGAAAGAACATGAATTTAGAATATTCGGAACTCATGACAGAAGAAGAGAACGAACAACATGTAAAAGATTATGCAAAATTTCTGAAGACATACAAAGCATTTAAACAATATCTAAATGCTTCTAAAGATTATGCAAAATTTCTGAAGGTATATAAAGCTTATGAAAAAGCGTATGAAAAGTTTATACATTGGGGAATTGTTGTAAAATATCGATATGAAGACTAACCAAAAATATATTTTTGCTTAAATAGCTTCAGGGTCTATTTCTTCAACCATTTCACTTCCTTCGTCAATGTCAATAGAAGCTTCTTCAACCTTTGGTAAGAATTTCTGTATAACATCTTTGTTCGTTATTGTCTTCAGAGATGAAGGATAATATTTCACATTTGTTTCACCCTTCTTATATTCTTTCTGTTCGGAAAGATTTAAAGCAATACTGAAGAAGTCAATGTTAGAGTTCTTTATGACAGTATAATGAGTATCTTTGACATTCACGAAGAAACTCTTTTGTTTCAAAACTACTGCTAACTCTTGTGAAGTATAACGTTTGCGGTTAATGACGATAGCTAATGGTCTGACATACTG